CCATGAAACCAACGGTGTGACCATGTGACCATCGAGTATATGTCTACACCTAAAGAATTGCGAAGCTTGCGCTGACTTACTAAAGGCTTTAAGCGGCGAAGCTGGACGATTCTGATCTCTAATGTGGTTGCTTGTAGGCTGTTGCTAGGCTTTAGCTACGGGATGCTAAGTTGTTTCTATAGTTTGCTTTTATAGGTTATAGTGTGCTTTTATAGTGTGCTTTTATAGTGTGCTTTTATAGTGTGCTTTTATAGGCTATAGTTTGCTTTTATAGGTTCTATAGTGTGCTTTTATGGTAAGTTGTTCCTGTAAGTTAATTCTAAGTTGTTACCAGGCTTTAGGTAGGTGATTCTAAGCTGTTTCTAAGATGCTTCTAGGTTGTTGCTATAGGCTATAGCCAGGTTATGCTAAGTTGTTTCTAAGTTGCTCCTATGTTTTTGCTAGGCTTTAGCTAGGTGGTGGTAGGTTTATTCTAGGTCGCTTTTAAGTTGTCGCTAGGCTTTAACTAAGTGATTCTGGGTTGTTTTTAGGCTATTTCAAGGTTGTTTTTATGATTTAGATTGGAGATGCTAGGTTATTTCTAGGTAGTTGTTTGGCTTTTAACTAGGTGATGCTAAGTAGCTTCTAGGTAGCAGCTAGGTTTTTAGATATGTTTATGTCGTTTTATAGGTTCCTTCTATGCCGTTGCTGGGTATAGAAGGAGTTGTTTTTAGGTTGCCTCTAGGTTATTGGCTCCTTTGTTACACTTCAGAATCGCCTTGCTTCAGCTTTACTGTCTCAAGCCTTGCGCGACTTAGCGCATGCTTAGCCATTTTCTTTCTCTTTCTTACTATTATTTCTTTCCTCTGTTTCTCTCTTTGAATTTATCTCTCTATTTTCTCTGTCTCTTACTTTCTATGACTTCCTCTGTTTTTCCTCTCTTTTACGCGCTTAACGTGTTCCACTTTGCCAAGCGGAGTCGTCGTTTAACGCTCACGCCTGAAGCTGAACACGGTAGTGGGGTTTGCCCAATCCCAGTGGCAGATACCCCCTTGAGGAGTTTTGGATGACGGAGTCCTGCTTACCGATAACTTAAACAGCTTCACTGTAGACAGAATGAACAGAGTGCATGCCGGTTACCAATAATGATTGTTTTTTGTACACATTGTACACACCAAAGGTTTTAGTGCCGACTTAAACTGCTCCGCTTCTAAAAAAAGCCTCATGAAAACGAGCACACAGCACAGTAATTGGGTGTTATGACATCCATACTACCATTTCAAAAGTATTATTAGGATGGACTGAATACAGAGCAAAAAAAAAAACAGTTCTGCAGCTCTGCCACGCACATTCCCTAGAACTTTTCATCGAAGAATATGGCTGTAATCTGAATGCATAAATTGGAACGATCTGAAGTCACTTCAACTTCAAAAACAATAAAATTCTTCTGCCTTCTGTGACTTCACGAGTAATTCACGAACAGCTTTGCTTGCAGAGTCGAAATGACAGCCAGTGCTACCTGTTAGTGTTTCAGCGACGAAACCATTGTACACTTCCTTTGTCATTGTCCTCCCTAAAGCTCTGAGAGAGCGGCTCTGAACAATGTTAGCACGCCATGATGGCTGCCGCTTTTCAAGCAATCAATTTCGCAGGGTTCAAGCTTCCAACCAGAAAGCAGGGAAGGCGCTGCTGAAGTTTCTGCGGTCAACCGGCCTCGCTGAAAGACATTGACGATTCTTTGTTTGAGTGAGCGTGCATTTTTTTGTACTTTGTGTTTTTTATTCTCTTTTTTTCTCTTCCTTAACTTTGTGCTTACTTCTTCCCCAGTGCAATGTAGCGAACATGATGATTTTCTTCTCTGTTTTTTTTTCACTCAATCTTTGTCTTTCTCTCTCTATGTGAAACAAGCTGAGAGAAATCAATGGAAGACAATTACAAACAGTGGTCAGCATAGTTGCAAATTCAACGAGACTGCCAGAGCCAGTCTTTCAAATCACTAGAGAGTGACTGCAAGTTGTGCATCGATAAATACATGATACTGATATAAAAATACTGGACAGCACAAAGACAGCACATTTTAGAAACAGCCATCTTACGCATTCTCGATGTCGACCTATAATAGCCGGAGAGGCTGACATAAACATGAACGTGTCTTCGAAATGTCCAGCGAGCTAAGAACAGAAGGATATGTAGAGGACATGCGCTAACTTCAAGCCACATTTACTTAAGAAGATACACGAGTATATACTAATGCAGCTGCTCTAATCTCACGCTGTCAAGGTAAAAGGGAAGTTTTATACACTTTCCAGGCGACTCAAACTCCAGCCAGGTGAGTCGTAGCAGGTGCTGCTGACTGCTTGCAGCGTTTTTACCTGTCACAACCGGGGTGCACGTCTGGCCTTTGACGAAAAATACCACGCTGTGCATCGCATTTTTTCCGCTTGTTTGCCCCACGATTGAGAAGCGGGGGCCCTCAAAATGCCATACTGGCATCAGTTGTTGAAACCTTTATTACATTAAGAACATAATTAATGGTGAGGTGAACTATAAGACGTATTTGAGTTCTAACAATTGCATCACCACCAGCACCCGCTGTGTTGTATGCGCGCTTTCTTGCGAGAGTTACCACTCAACAAGGGGAAAGAAAAGAAAGAACTACCGTTCAAGGGACATTGTTATATAAATTGAAAAAATGGATGCCTGCCTATGAGAGAAAGAGAAAACGCAAAGAGGCTAACCAGATACGGCAGACAAACAGACAAGTATCTCTATTAGGATGCCGAAGAGCCAGTCTATGGAGCCCAATAGAGAGGACTTTGGGCTATCTGTTAGCTAACTTCATGTTGGAGTCGAGAGGCTCTTCTTCTATACGAGTTTTTGATTTCTAATTGACCAAAAAGAACAGCAGTGACACCCAGATGAGTGACAGTATATACATTCACTTTCATGAAACCTGCGAACATTTTCAATTTCGGCTCAGTGGTGTTGCCTTACTTCGTAATTAGCACAAAGGGTAATTCTACAATGCCTATAGTTAAATGGAGCAAGCTTTATAGTTTATCAGAAGCCATGATATACGTTTATAGCTGCCTCTTAGTTCCAGTAGTACTATTAGTAGTACTACAGCGGAACCACCTTTTTTGAATTATGCAGCGTATATTGGCCTGGTAGCTAGGCGTTAGGCGGCTGAATACGAAATAGCGAGTTCCATTCTAGGATAGGTTTGCAAGTTTTGGTATAGGGGCAGAACGTGAAAATGCTCCCAGAACCTTTTTGGAATGATGCAAGGAACAAACGGGAAAGGAAAGATGGGGATGTTGTTCAGTCAGGACCGGTAAGCTACCCTCACACTATATAGAAAAAGGGATGAAAGAGTTGTTAGAGAAATGGATGGAAGAGTGATGGAAAAAGAGAGGGAAAGTGGGCTGTGCACGCACTCACAAAGTAACACACCTCACTCAATGTTGGACTGCGCATTGCGTAAATTGACCTGGAGCTACCCTTTTGATTACATTTCTCATAGACACTGAAGTGTGTGTTGCTTTTTGGAATTAAATCCAGCAGACAGCAACATTTCCCTCGAGCCCTTTTTATTAGAAATTCGGGAAAAGAAAGTTTTCACGCAAAGACAACAAGAAAAACGGCGAAAGCTGTTGAACCAGCCTCGTAGTGCGCAAGTACATGCATGTACATGCAGCAACGAACACATGCAAGTTATATGTGTTTAGGTGTGATGACATGAGATGAAACGAGAATGCTGTGCGATTCCAATTGCTTATGCAAAGTTATCGGTGCGAAAAAAAAGGTGATCATTACATTCTGCATTCTTGGTGCACGCGGTGCTGCTGACTCAAATCTCGAAATAATCCGAAACCTTTTCATTAAGCGACTATTCTTTATTTTCTATATGACATAAATGTAGTACAGTGTAAATTACGGCACATGACGGTCATGGAGAGCGAAGGGTTAATGATGAAGCCATTCACAAGCGTTACGAGGCAATGTTTAGGTGAAAACTTTGTCAAAATCACCCAGAGCGAATGACACCCCGCAGTTTGTGCACGAGACCTAGGCTGTGCAAAGTGCAGTTAATGTCCGGCCGTGCATTGGTGCGCCGTCGCTGTTATCAAAGCATGCATTGCCTTTTGACGTACTGGAGTAGTGTTCTGGAAAGAGACAAACTTGTCGTATGTTCACCTTTGATTTTTGAGTAACGCTGTAAGCATCCATAACCATGCCGTCATGATATATCATAACAAATACGTGTAATACCTGCAACTAGCATCCTGCAGCATAGATGCAGCGTGCCATACTGATCTGTTAGTTCACACGCGTAATTGAATATGGCAATCTAAAAAAAAGAGCAAGGGGAAGTAGTGCATGAAATTAGACACTTTGAGTTGGGCGTGCGTAACGAGCCTACGGACGCGGCACGAAAAGTTGCGTACACTACATGCGAAGCGCTCAACGACACTTTTAGTTCACCGTATTGACCGTACCAAGATACGTTTGGTTCAACTAGACGTGTGTTATTAGAAATAAAACAGCAACAGGTCCAGGCGCTCTCGCACACAGCGCGCTGTAAATAGTTTTCTCAGGACTTCCCTGGGGCGCCAAGCAATCACTTCCCACTGCTCGAGATGCCTAAACAGATCGCTGGTTTGTACATCTGCTAGAAGCGCCACATCGTCCCTCAAAGTAAAATATACTCAATTTGGGCCGGCTTTGTTGCTCTCTGCATTCGACGCCACCGTTGCCGTTTCACTATCTGGTTCTCATTTCAATCGAGATATCGCGAGAGTGTCACGCCGCGTTCGCTCCGCCTCGTCACGTTTACGCATGACGCGTTCTTTTTTCGGGCGTACACACGCATCTCTGGAATCGATGCGTTACGTACTGCGCAGTTCTCTCCCGTGGCAGTGCTGCGTACATGAGCTCGTTATGTATGCCAAACTAAATGTGTCCATTGTTTGTAGTGCGCGACGTGGCTAGAGAATTGAGCGGTGTGCACGCATACCCACCGCAGGCACTGCTTTTGCGCTTCGCCGAGTTTGTCCAAGCCGGGTGCACAGATATGCATGAAAAGGCGGCCGCGGGAGCGGCAAAAGCTGTGTTGAACCCAAAACTGATAGGAGCGTGTTTGGTCAGGACTGTGCAAATAGAGAAAAGAGCAAAATAACACGGACAAGTTAGAGGTTTTCAGGACTCATTCAGATAAGCAAACGAGAGAGGGTAGAAAAGCACAGGATGTACAAGCACTGCCGTGCGTTTACCATTCGTCAAGAAAGCTTAGGCTGAAACATCCAGCATAAAAGAATGAGGCCCTTGCTCCCATAGAGTGCCAGAGATCACCAAAAATTTAAAATGTTTGGTTTCACAAACAAGATATTTCACGTATGGTGGGTTATAACTTTTTGTAAATTCACGTACGTTGTATTGGTGGTACAGTCGGTGACCTAGAAAAAAACATTGCCCCTGCTACATGCCATGCTCAATAAGGCTGAAAAAATAGAAAAGTCTCAAAAGGTGCATGTGCATTTTTGCTTACGTTTGACCTGATGAACTCAAAGCGTATAATTTCTGGTTGTCGTGGTATTTTTGATGCCCATCTTATTTTGGATGCTGAAATGTATGCACAAAGCGCGATTTTGAAAAAGAAATAGACTAAAATGAAGAGCACTTGATTTTCTCGTGATGAGAAATATAACGATTTCATAAGCAGCCTACAGCGGGCCAAGTTAACCATTCTGAATACAAACTCTATTTTCGATGCACATCCCTCTCTTGTGGAGATTCCGTGCGCAGTACGACGTTGACTGGTTGGCGTGGAACGTAACATAATTGTTTAGTGTGCTTCTCTGGTCGGAGCTTAGGAGATATAGATATAAATGTTTACCTCCTAGAAAAAAAATCTCCAAAAGAAGCCAAAGACAGTACTTGACCGATGCTCAGTTTTCCTGCGCAAAAGTTTCAAGAAAGCCCCACCATGAAGCTGCTCCGCACAACGAACTATAACTTCTCTGCCGAGACGCTGGAAAGCTGCAGGTATCAAATTAATACCAAATACACTTAAGACTAAATGGTGACAAACACTGTTCGCCACATCCAGATTGTTAAGATTGTCTGATTCCCCACACCTGTAATAAATTCTAAAAAACATCACGTACCACTTGCACGTACCACTTCCCTTGAATTTCCCGGTTTATCTCAGTGGCTCCGCAGTCGTGCAGCACCAAGAAAGCACGCGGGCGCCCAACCAATCAGAGCGAGAGGGGTAAAAATTAACCAAATTGGTACACAGAATAAACGATTTCGTTTAGAGAAAGCATGTTTTTTTTTGTTGCTAGCGTTTTTAGGGAGTTTCGCAAACAAAAATTGATACAAAAGGGTACTTCCGATAATTAGTTGGTAAGAACTTCTAGTTACCGAACTGTGGCAGAAGAACACACACACGCGAGAGCAAAAGGACAATCGTTGAGTGCGAAATAAATTCAACCATGGTGTTAACAGCTCCATAAATCGTCAATTAAAAGTCAGCGATCGTCCCAGTGTCCTTTCTTGTGTGTGTTCCTGTAGTTCCATACAGTAACGACAAACTAGTGACATGCGCAAGGTACGCTATTCAATTTAAATTTCAGTGGTATGTGGTGCCATTCATACTGTTCTAAATCAATCAATGTTTTTTTTTTAAAGACGATAGTCTTTCTTGAGGACCTTCGACGCGAGAAATTTGGTCTGTCTGTCTTTTTGTCGGTCTGTAAATTTGTCTGTTTGTCCGTGGTAACAATTCCTTTTATGACACCAAAGTGACCAAACGGTACCTCAAACGGCCAACCCCATCCGCAGCGCCCACCAATATTGCTAATATTTCAGCGTTCGCACTTGTGCGATTGTATATTAAAAAGCAATTATTGCGCATATCTGAGGCACCATAAGAACACGTAGATGTGTGCCTTTATACTAGAGAAGGCACACGCAAGTAATTCTAAGGACCGTAGCGTTTATCACGCTGCGCTGACAGTGCAACGCGATGCTCAAGAAGGCAAGTGTTTCCAACGCTTTGCCAAGACGCCACGGTGGTGGAACCTGCCCGTCGCTTTGCGTTCTACACCATATCGCCCCCGAGACAGGCACGCATCTTTTTCCACGGGCGCGCATGCCTTCCTTCGTTGTCGAAGACAGCCAGATGGCGCTCGTGTCTAACGTGCCTTGATGCGCTCGTTAGCCTTCGCTGCACGGATCAAGACTCTCTAACGCAGCGCTTCCAGAACACAAATCACCAATTTTCTCGCGCAGAACATCAAATAAACGTTTTGTTCACTATCTCTACGCGCAAGACTATGGTCTTTCGACGACATTGTTAACTTGCAGATACGGGGCCATTTTTTCGTTCTAGGAGTAAAGAAAATAGACCAATCACGTTCGTTCGATCGTTCATCCTACTTTTTCTGTCGAGGCCCGAAATATATAATGCAATATAAAGAGTATCCCACCTGGAACCCATTCCACCAACATGCCCTTCTAAACTGAGCATTGTAACCATGACCGCTGTTGGCTATATAGATACCTCTTTTAGTCGCGTATAATGCCTTAGCATTGCACGTCGTCATGTCTACGAGATTATTGCGTTTGCGAAGCTCAATATTTATAGACTAAAACGAGGTGGCAGAAGTAAAAGCACGTTTACGAAAACCTACATCATAGAAAATATACTCGCTAACTTTCATATTTATCGCATCTTATTCATGTACCACTTTCTATTCTGTTTACCCTTCCGCGCAGTTCAGCGGGGCCAGCTGGTTCTTACACAGGTCAACATTCACACTTAGAATGGATGGTGGTTCGACCCGCGTGCATGTGTACTGCAACTTTTGCTTAACGCAAGGTGCATGTTTGGTCAAGCGTGTTGCAGATTAACGCTTTTTATGAGATTACACGAGTTTTCAGCTGGCACTAACGTCACCTCAATACTTTACAAGAATACTGGAGACGGTTGTGTGTGCGTGCGTGCGAGTGTCTGTGTGTGTGCGAGAAATGGAGAGAGAGAAAGAGAGAGCGAGAGAGAAAGAGTGCATGAGTGGGTGGGTACGAAGAGTTTGGAGGGTGAACCTCCATCTGCTCCCCTTATAGCTACGGCAATGACTCAAACGAAAACGTGGTGGGCGCTTTTTAAACTTCGTTGGTTGCCGTTTCTAGCTAGATCAGGCATATGTTCTCCTGCTTTCTGCTAGACCCATGTTGGACAAGTTGGGACGCACTGGACATATTCTTGGCTGAAAAATATATGAAATAACGTGATTGTTCAGAGGTAATTCCTAGAAGTCGAAATTTTCCTAGCGTCTAACGATCTGTCTCAAGCCTCCATCCTGGTCACAGAAGCATCGTGTGGATAACTTCCGTTTTTTTTTTATAGGTGGACCATTTGGAAGTATACTTTTCGTCAGAAACAAGGGCCCTTGGAGAGCAGGTGGGGCTCACCCGACGTTGCAACCCTTAGGCATTAGGTTTCCGACGAGCCCCTCTGCCGAAGGGGAGCAGAAGGAGTTCCAGCGGACAAATCCCGGCCGAGCCACAGGCTGCACCGGCTCGGTAATGGTCAGCTGGGACGGCTGCACGTCGAACGACTCGGGAGTCAGCAGCGATGGCGCCGGGCCCAGATCGAGCCCGCCGGACTTGGTGGGCAGCCCACCGGCCAGAGGCTGTGACAGCCTGCATGAACGACGCTACGATTAGGCCTTGAGATGCCCTGTAATATCAGCGCCACGAAAGTACCTTATTAAGTTCGATTCTTGCAAATTTTGTTTCTGCCTAGAATTTCGTAGGAGTGTACAAAAAGCAAGGAAGAGCATCTACTTATTATTCCAGGAATAGTGCGCGTGCAGCACATGGCCACACACCCGCAACAGAGAAACGATATATCAACCTGACATTCGATTGAATATACGAACCAAAACTTTGGTTAATCATGTAGCATTCGAAGAGCTGTCAAGGAAGTGCGTTCGGCTCTTACTAGGCAGTACCAAGTGAAGTCACTAACAGCTAACACGTCCCACCTTAGAGAGCCCACATCTATCTCCGCTGGGCATTGCTGTGTGGCTAACTGATTGTATACACGTGACCTAAAACAGCCTGCGCAGTGAAATTGAGGAGTTTTGTTACCGACAACTTTGTTATCACTGAAGAAGGCGCTGAAAATAGTAACAACGGGCCTGAATACTTGCCCACACACGAATCTATTTTTAACCATTCTGTGGGCGGCTTACCCCGCAGTGGTGGTCTGGCGGCTAAGGTACTCGGCTGCTGACCCGCAGGTCGCGGGATCTAATTCCGGCGCCGGCGGCGGCGGCTGTATTTTCGATGTAGGTGGAAATGCTGTAGGCCCGTGTGCTCAGGTTTGGGTGCACGTTAGAGAACCCCATGTGGTCGGAATTTCCGGAGCCTTCTACTACGGTGTCTCTCATAATCATACACTGTAAACAAAAATATACTCAGCCGGAAGGAATCGAGAAAAGATGCGCCCGCACTGCTCCGGTGGCCCCACTTAAACCGGATTGTACCAGACGATATACATTCGATTCCCACAGTTTTCCCCCGGTGAGCGCCGAACGAAGGAAACCAGAGGAAAACGGGGCCAATCCCTTGACTATTCTCCCGTGGTTGGTCCGGAAATCACCGGCGCATTGCATTTGACCCGGTGGATGCTCCACAAACTCTAACATAACTTTGGTAATATTGTCACGGAGTCGTGACGTAGACCAATGAAGCAGACTGTGGGTGAAATAACCAACTGTTTATTTGGGCGAATCTGTGCCCGGTAAACGTAATGTATTGCACAGTGGCGAACGGGGCGTCGGCTGTCAATCAACTGACAAGCGGCGAAGCGCGTCGGCATTTATACACTTGCGATCGAATGTTCTAGCATTATCGCTAGCGGTGACGTAGGTTCCAGAATAATCTGAAATGTTCACGAAGTGAGCGTAATCTTAAGAAAACGATCTGCTAAAGCCTCGCAGCTTTCCGA